GGTAAATTCTGTTACAGTCTCTGTGTTAATAGTCCAGGTAGTAAATTCTGTTACAGTCTCTGTGTTAATGTCCAGGTAGTCCAGGTATTGTGGTAAATTCTGTTACAGTCTCTGTGTTAATAGTCCTGGTATTGTAGTAAATTCTGTTACAGTCTCTGTGTTAATAGTCCTGGTATTGTGGTAAATTCTGTTACAGTCCCTGTGTTAATAGTCCAGGTATTGTGGTAAATTCTGTTACAGTCTCTGTGTTAATAGTCCAGGTATTGTGGTAAATTCTGTTACAGTCCCTGTGTTAATAGTCCAGGTATTGTGGTAAATTCTGTTACAGTCTCTGTGTTAACAGTCCAGGTATTGTAGTAAATTCTGTTACAGTCCCCGTGTTAACAGTCCAGGTATTGTTGTAAATTCTGTTACAGTCTATGTGTTAATAGTCCTGGTATTGTAGTAAATTCTGTTACAGTCTCTGTGTTAATAGTCCAGGTATTGTGGTAAATTCTGTTACAGTCTCTGTGTTAATAGTCCAGGTATTGTGGTAAATTCTGTTACAGTCCTTGTGTTAATAGTCCTGGTATTGTGGTAAATTCTGTTACAGTCTCTGTGTAGTCCAGGTATTGTGGTAAATTCTGTTACAGTCTCTGTGTTCTGTGTTAAAACAGTCCTGTGTTAATAGGTATTGTGGTAAATTCTGTTACAGTCTCTGTGTTAATAGTCCCGGTATTGTGGTAAATTCTGTTACAGTCTCTGTGTTAATAGTCCAGGTATTGTGGTAAATTCTGTTACAGTCTCTGTGTTAATAGTCCTGTGTTAATAGTGTATTGTGGTAAATTCTGTTACAGTCTCTGTGTTAATAGTCCTGGTATTGTGGTAAATTCTGTTACAGTCTCTGTGTTAATAGTCCAGGTATTGTGGTAAATTCTGTTACAGTCTCTGTGTTAATAGTCCAGGTATTGTGGTAAATTCTGTTACAGTCTGTTACAGTCTCTGTGTTAATAGTCCAGGTATTGTGGTAAATTCTGTTACAGTCTCTGTGTTAATAGTCCAGGTATTGTGGTAAATTCTGTTACAGTCTCTGTGTTAATAGTCCAGGTATTGTGGTAAATTCTGTAAATTCTCTGTGTTACAGTCTCTGTGTTAATAGTCCAGGTATTGTGGTAAATTCTGTTACAGTCTCTGTGTTAATAGTCCTGGTATTGTGGTAAATTCTGTTACAGTCTCTGTGTTAATAGTCCAGGTATTGTGGTAAATTCTGTTACAGTCTCTGTGTTAATAGTCCTGGTATTGTGGTAAATTCTGTTACAGTCTCTGTGTTAATAGTCCTGGTATTGTGGTAAATTCTGTTACAGTCCCTGTGTTAATAGTCCAGGTATTGTGGTAAATTCTGTTACAGTCTCTGTGTTAATAGTCCAGGTATTGTGGTAAATTCTGTTACAGTCCCTGTGTTAATAGTCCAGGTATTGTGGTAAATTCTGTTACAGTCCCTGTGTTAATAGTCCAGGTATTGTGGTAAATTCTGTTACAGTCTCTGTGTTAATAGTCCTGGTATTGTAGTAAATTCTGTTACAGTGTCTGTGTTAATAGTCCTGGTATTACTTTCATTTAGTTTCTTTAAGTATGAATAATCAGTGTATATCATTGGTTATAAAATAACTGAATTAGATATCAATTAAAATGCTGTCAAAATATTATGACAGGTTACCTTACCGCGAGAGGAATCCTTTACTTAGTTTGTCCCAATCAATTTATTACAACCTTTTTTAAGAATGTTAATGCTTCCATTAGCCAATGAATGACAATCTAAGACTGACTCTAGCCAATGAACATTAGAAATGACCCAAAGAATGAAAGACAATAAAAAGGCTGGTCGGCCTAGCTTATTTAAGGCAACCAAATGTCAGTCTGACCAACCTATGACAACCAAATGTCAGTCTGACCAACCAATGACAACCAAATGTTGTTCTGATCAGTTAATGACAACCAAACAAAGTCTGACCAATCAATAACAAATAAATGTTGCTCTGACCAACCCATGACAACCAAATGCCAGTCTGACCAACCCATGACAACCAAATGCCAGTCTGACCAATCTATGACAACCAAATGCCAGCCTGGCCAATCACTGACAACCAAATACCATTCTGACCAATCTATGACAACCATTAGGCTTTTCCTTTCAATAGAATGGCAATAAATAGGGATTCTTTAAGGAAGAAGGGAAAACATACAGACAGTATGTCATTGAATGACAACAGTATAGTTCAGTGCTAATGAAAGAAAATCACATACTTGAGATGTCCATATCTTACCTAAATCTTTTACTTAATGTTTCACACAAATTTGTGTGATTATCAGTTTTACATCAGTTTCTCTCTCTACCTTTCCTATTCATCTATGATGCACCACATCAATTTAATAAGTTTTCTTTATACAATGTTAGTGTTGAAGAAGACAAATATTCACAGTAAATGTGGTAGGATTTCACATTAGTGTATTGGTACATGTAGGGTGGCAAGCTCTGCTAAGGGATTTAACTTGGCAAAAACATCCCAAAAGTTGGAAAGAAATTAGGATAATTTGGCAAATAGTTTTCTTCATTCTATGTTTAAGCAGCTGCATGTAAAAGTCAACTATATTCTTGATTATACAAACATTGTGCTCACATGGTACAGTAGTGTTGTAATGTGTGACCATACAGATGTGTTAAGTATATATCTATCAACTGAAGTAATGTTTAGTAAATTAGTATTACAATCGCATTATATTATTTATGGATCAACATCAACAAGCATGTCATTATTCGATTTCTCCATTTATGCAGTAATATGATTGGGACATCTATGATCATTAATCTTTATATAGACCTTGTATAAGTCTTTAAGTGTCATGGTAACCTCAAAGTCACAACATCAACTCATTGCAATGTTAATTTAAAAAAAAAATATTACACATTTCTAAACATTTACTTGATTTGTTCATCAATTAACCTATGTTTGTGTAATACACTGTTCAGGTAACATATAACATTACACTGTGTTAACACAGACATATATAAAAATGTCTCTTCAACACACAAACTTTCATCTAGTGAATTCCAGATCAGGGTTTTTTTGGTATTTTTTATGCTTCAGGTTTATTTTGATAAATATTTTTTTTTGTTTTGATCAGGTTTTCTGTTTTTTTATTTTGATTTTAAATTTTTTTCTTAATTAAATAGATATCTTAATCCTTTACAATTTGCAATACATATGAAATATATAATGAATCTAAATTCAGATGGATTATACACATTACATATTATAGTTTGAGTATTATCTAGGTATACACACTTTATTTCATATTATAACCAAAATCTGCATAATTTCCATTTCAGATATACACAACAATGAAACCTGAGAGATCCTAGTATTTTCTTCTCATAAAACCAATTAAGTCCTTCCTATTCAGTATCCTGTATAACACAATTTATCATACATAAAACCCTTGTTACCTGTGTAGTAACATCTATAACATAAATGTGTGTTATGACCACAAATGTAATGATACATAGTAGAGTTACAATAATTGACTGAAAGGTCCCCTTTTTTCAATTATGACATCATGTCTTCCTTGTGTCACCTACATTGTGATGTTGCCAGGCGTCACCTACATAGTGATGTTACCAGGCATCACCTACAATGTGATGTTACCAGGCATTACCTACATTATGATGTTACCAGGTGTCACCTACATTGTGATGTTACCAGGTGTCACTTACATTGTGATGATGCAAGGCGTCACCTACATTCTGATGTTACCTGGCATCACCTACATTGTGATGATACCAGGCATCACCTACATTGTGATGTTACGTGGTGTCACCTACAATGTGATGTTACCATGTAACATTGAATACATTGTAACTTAAATTTTACATCAGTCTAATAAAATAATGTTTTTAAAATTTTCCTACAAAAACACGTCATGGAAATTAAGTGATAAACAAAATCTTACATTGAATTGCATTTCAAAAAGATTCCTCAAGATTGTCACAAAATTTTAATTTTACCTCACCAGTTAAAAACTGATAATAATAATAATAATATACAACATTTATATAGCGCACTATCTATTTTGACAAAATACTCTAATGCGCTTCACAATTACATAATAATCTTACTACAAAATTTACAGAACATGTATAAAGTAATCAACATATGTAACACAGTAACCAAATCAAGTTAGTAGTGGTGAAAGTATGTATATACAGGACGTCTGCGTGAGAGTCTAAAATGCAGACGTAAACAGGTGGGTTTTAATATCCCTCTTGAATTTGGCCAGGGATTTTGACTTTCTAGTAGCAGATGGTAAGCTGTTCCACAAAGTGGCCGCTACCTTTCCAAAGCATCGGTTACCATAAGTCACAGTCCGAGAGTTCGGAACGCACAAGAAGGACTCTGTCTCCGATCGTAGTGATCGTGACGGCCGATAAACGGTGACAAGTTCCTGCAAATATTCAGGAGCTGTTCGATTTATTGCCTTGTATGTATACATCAAAATCTTGTACTGTAACCGGAATTGCACGGGCAGCCAATGCAATAAGTAAAGGACTGGTGTAATGTGGTCCCTCTTTCGAGTACGGGTAACTAGGCGTGCTGCGGTGTTCTGTACCCTTTGCAGGCGGCTCATTAGTGTATCAGATACACCAACGAGTAACGCGTTACCATAGTCTAACCTAGAAGTAACAAGAGAATGTACCAATGTCTTGCATGCATCTGCGGTGATGAACTGACGGATACCCCCAATGTTTCTGATTTGGTGATAACAGGAACTGGCAATTGAGTTTATCTGTTTCTCCATGTTCAGAGAGCTATCAAAGTGTACACCAAGGTTTCTCACAGCTTGGACGGCCTCAATAGTTTGGGCATCGACCTTTCACTGGAGAACTGATGGCAAGATGAGAATTATTTTGTGAATTCCATTTGCAATGGCAACTCCTGTTAAGATCCTCTATATCCCAGAGGTACGATTATAAAAATTTCCCAGAAGAGTCAGATGATTTGTGATCAACTTAACCTAGCATGTATATCAGCTAGTCCTCACACAGGTGGGGAGTTTCAAGGCAATAATTCCATCATATCCATCTCTCATGTACACATACCAGCCTGGCAGTCCATACCCAGGGTAGTCTTTCTGTGTATCAGCATCTCCAAGCAAGTAAACCAAATAGAATGATCTTGGTCCTCTGCCAAGACAAGGTAGAACCCCGAGGAGTTCCGAGTCTCTACTGAAGTAGGATAAGTGTTCTTTGTATTCGTTGGATGATTCATCCATCTGTGTCCATGACAACAAGTATCCATCTGTAAAAAGATTTTTCAAATATCAAGCTATCAAAGGGACTTAATTCATCTGTATATATTGATTCTTCTTTAAAAAATGTTTTTCTTCAATATAGTCCAAAATTGCATTTTTTGAATTATAATTTTTACAATCTATTTTTCAAATTACAGTGTATATTAATATTGCACTTATCAAATCATTAGTGACAGATTAGATCAATTATCCAAAAAAGAAATCAGTCTTGTTAAATGTACGTCTGAATCATCAAATTGTATTTCTTCAGGTCCAATGAAATAACAGAACCAGTTTTAAAACAGGCTTGAGCTAAAGAAAACTCTTAAGAAAATATAACAATGATACCGTATTACTAAACAGGATTACCTCTCTCTCCTACAAATTTGTGTTCCACTGGGAATCCAGATATAGGTAGAACTTCTGTCATTATCACCTCCACAGATCTGATGGAATAAAAAAGTCACAGTATCTTTAAATTTTCCAACAGAGCATAATAAAAAGTAGAAATATCATGATGATGCAGAAAAATATATGAAGAATGAAAATTTCTGTATCACATGTAGTGTCTATCTAAACTGTCTTCGTCCTACCAGACTATAACAACATCACCATAATTCCTCTGTATACAATTATCCTGCGATGATTAAAAAAATCTCATAACTCTAAAACAATGTGGAGGTGGTTCCAATGCTTGTCATGTTCCCTGATTGACATGAAAATCTTCAAATGCGTATATTTTTTTGGGAATTTAAATAAATTGAAATATCTTCAGTCCAGTCCAACAATAGCAGCATTGATTAAGATTGTCTCTGTATACATCGGTATTGAATCCCAGAAACTATAAATATCACCTGCATCAAGATCCATCTTTTATGTAAATTCTAATTTTCTTAAAGAGATATCAGTTTAAGTGAAGGAAAATTCTATATAAGGAACAATGTCTTACAAGTAGATGGTAAATATAAAAGAGTGAGTACCTAGCAGGGTCCTGTATTATCTGTAAGGTCACCAAGTTCATGTCCAGCCCAAGAATGACCTCTTGGTAGGAGTGGTCACTTCCTGTCCTGTAACAACTGGTCAGCACTTTGACTGTGCTTGCTTTGATCTGGAGGTTATCTTCACTGATCTGTAATCCTTTCCTGTCACCAAAATATAAATCAGTAATAAAACATTGTTGTATTGGGAGTAAACACAAGCAAGACAATAACTGAATTTTTATCACCGCAAATAAGCACCTCCCAAATGAAATTAACAAACCATCCAATGTGGAACTTGACACATGCAGGGTTTTCCATAATTTTGTTAGTAGTAGGCTGTGTAGTGAAAGAAGGAGGCTGGCCTGACGTGTACGTGTAGTCGTGTACGGAACATTATTACGGAACTGGATTGGTGTAGGCGGCCAAATGATCAAGGTAGCCGGTCAAATTGGCCTGTGACCGGCTCTTAAGGAAAACTCTGCACATGACTTGGAAAAAGTTTTGAAAATACGAATATCGATTAAGGAGCTAAATGTCATCTAACACCCTGGTTGTAAAATGTGCATGGCCACTGTGGCCTTATTACATTGCAATAATAATCCTACCTGAAATAGGGTAAGAGATATGCAGAGAATCTTTTTTTCTTTGCTAAGGGTCAAAGGTATGTTACAGGTCACATTAACTTTAGTATGTCATGCAGCACTAACGCCACGCAGCACTACATCTGCCTAAAGCGTTCTTATGGAGGAAATCCTGTGATCCCAATAGGAAATAGGTGGAAGATATACATAAGACACATCATTTCTTTGAACAGGGTTAGAGGTCAAAATATAGGTCACAGTGACTTTATGCATACAACGCTTTCCCTTTCCAAGACTTTCCCATATCCTAGCTAGCAAGTATGATGACCACACATGAAATAGAGTTGGAAATACAAAATTTACATACGTTATATTACTATTGGTTGACAATTTTGTTCATGATGATAACACCATAAAGCAATGATCAAAAACAGAAATATCATCCATGTTTATTTAGACAGCTAATCACGAAGAGCCAGGAGAGGATAAGATCTCATCCACCTGCATTATTTTTGTTTTACATGAAAATATTGTTTAAAGCACAGAGAGTAATTCGTGTTTGTATCTAAATTATATACCTGACCACCATGTCATACCAGACTTACTATTCTGTTCACTGAGAGCAAGTGAAACCAATGTATCCTAGGTAGACTACATAGGGCTTATTATAAATGACTTACTTGTCACAGACAGACTTGATTGATACACTCTCCAGGGAAGGGATATCTACAAATCTTATGTATTCCTGGTCTCTTAGAGACACCACGACAACAGAACACTCCAGAGATGTGACTATCGTGACAGGAGGAAGAGACTCGTCAATCTTGATGTTTTGGTCATTCCAACACCACAACCTGGAAAACCAACACGCTATCAGTAAATATCGGAAAATTACAAGGAAAATATCTATGTATAAAGTATAAAGTGGCAGTTGACAGCAGACAAAATTAGCTGTCTGAATGACCTCTTCATCTGTGACCACCATCTTTATACATAAATTGTGACAAAGTACTTTATCAATTGTCCAAATGAGCCCATAACAAAGCTTTTGATAGCCAATTAGAACTAAGGGACATAACTCTACATAGCTAGACACATGACAAATCTTGAGTGCCAGGAATTGAAAACTTTATGACACAAACTTTTGTAGTTGTAGGTGAGATGGTACACAAGATAGGGCCCCAGACAAAGTGATGCATGGTTATAAAGGGGAATAACTCTCCTTGTATCTTGATTCCTGGTATTGTTTTCAGAATATACCTTTTAAAACATTAGCAAGATAATGCCTCCGGTAGATTAACTGGTGACATCTGTGAAACCTTTTTTACATAGCAATAACTGTATCAATAACTACTGATTATATGGAAATCATTTTTCTAAAAACAAGATATAATATAAATGTATTTAAAATGAAGAATAAAAGGTAAGACCTTTTTTTGTTCTAAAATAAAACCTAGGATGTATGTAAACTGTAACAGGGTACCAGATGTCACTGAACACAGGGAGCAAATTTGTCATTCAAACCTGACTTGCTGTTAAGGTAAAATATAAAAGACATGAATGTCTCTGCTCTTATGTAAACCAGAACCTGATCAGGTGTAAAATTTAATGTAATGATACCATGTGGTAAATATAAACCAAATATTCTAAGAGGGTTTAAAGATATGACATTGATAATGGAGTAGGATGTGATGGGACATGACAGGACAAAATATATCAAAAGGCACAAGTATAGTCAGTACCATGTCAGCATTAGAGTAGTGCAGTAATATTTACCTGTTATTTGATGTGACCTTCACCAAACTATCACAGCCAATGATGTGTGGAACAGTTTCGTTTTCATCCTCCTCCTGTTTGATCTTTGCCAGAACTTTGCCTTTCTGTCCACAAACTAACAGACAAGGACCTACTCTGTAAAACAAATTGCCTTAATCATGTACCACATAATGTCATACAGTTTTATCCCAGATAGGGAACAGTAGACACAAATAATGCTAGTATCCCTAGCATGACATTTTGAACAGAACTTCCGATCTCAAATACAGAGGGTTACATACTTGACCATGGGTTACTTAGTAAAGACTGTGGGTTACTTAGTAAAGACCGTGGGTTGCTTAGTTGACAGTGGGTTACTAAGTTGGTCGTGGGTTACATAGTTGACAGTGGGTTACTTAGTTGATAGTGGGTTACTTAGTTGACAGTGGGTTACTTAGTTGACAGTGGGTTACTTAGTTGACTATAGGTTACTTTGTTGACTGTGGTTTACTTAGTTGACAGTAGGTTACTTAGTTGACAGTGGGTTACTTAGTTGACAGTGGGTTACTTAGTTGATAGTGGGTTACTTAGTTGACTGTGGGTTACTTAGTTGACAGTGGGTTACTTAGTTGACCGTGGGTTACTTAGTTGATAGTGGGTTACTTAGTTGAGAGTAGATTACTTAGTTGACAGTGGGTTACTTAGTCGACTTTAGGTTACTTAGTTGACTGTGGGTTACTTAGTTGACAGTGGGTTACTTAGTTGACAGGTGGTTACTTAGTTGACTATGGGTTACTTAGTTGACCGTGGGTTACTTAGTTGACTTTAGGTTACTTAGTTGACCGTGGGTTACTTAGTTGACAGTGGGTTTCTTAATTGACAGTGGGTTACTTAGTCGACTTTAGGTTACTTAGTTGACTGTGGGTTACTTAGTTGACTGTGGGTTACTTAATTGACAGTGGGTTACTTAGTTGACTTTAGGTTACTTAGTTGACCGTGGGTTACTTAGTTGACAGTGAGTTACTTAATTGACAGTGGGTTACTTAGTCGACTTTAGGTTACTTAGTTGACTGTGGGTTACTTAGTTGACTGTGGGTTACTTAATTGACAGTGGGTTACTTAGTTGACAGGTGGTTACTTAGTTGACCATGGGTTACTTAGTTGACAGTGGGTTACTTAATTGACAATGGGTTACTTGGTTAACAGTGGGATACTTGGATGGCAATGGATTATATGGTTGACTTTGGTAACTTGGCAGACAGTGGGCAACTCTATATTGTTGTGTAACTTTGTTACTGGAGGGGTTTCTTCATTAACATAGAGTCATTAAATTTGTTGATTTTTTATTTGGATGCAAGTGAAATGTCACTAAGTTGACATTAAGTAGTATACAGTCTATACTCACTTCGTAGATTTACTGTAGTAGAATATTTCAGACTTAGCTAGTTTGTAGTTTCTACAATTGGGAATGTCTCCAAAATGTGAGATATGATATTCCATCTTGAACTTTGGTTGTAGGAAACCTTCTCTGCTGCTGCAGTCGATGAACTGCAATCAATTAAAGTAATGTTTGATATTCTTCACTTGATTAAAATAAACATTAAACTTTAATAAAAACGCTGGCATCTAAAATTCCACTGTCATTTTTCCAGACAAATACTGACATCACAGTTGAACTTTGTTATCTGTGTGTGTACTGGGTGAACATTGGTTTTACTGATGACAGGAGAATATTAATGATAAACAACCTTAGAATGTTCTCCAGATATGTGAATATTTCATTTAGCAAATGTTCCCTGGTGAATAGTGTTAGCTAAAACTACCATTATATTTCCTCACAAAATGTGGAATTTGTTTTATAATGGATAATGCAGTAAGTTTGTATAAACAAGAGGCCTAGCGACCTTGACGGTCACCTTTCAAGTGGATGGTGGATCATGTGACAAGGTCATGTTCCCTCCATGAATAAAAGGTGTATGTGAGGTGAATATAAAAGATCACAAATGATCATGTGACAAGGTCATGTTCCCTCCATCGATCACAAGGTGTATGCGAGATAAATATAAACAATCACACATGATCATGTGACAAGGTCACGTTCCCTCCATGGATCCCATGGTGTATGTGAGGTAAATATAAACAATCACACATGATCATATGACAAGGTCATGTTCCCTCCATAGATCACATGGTGTATGTGAGGTAAATATAAACGATCACATTTGTATTTCATTCACATCTTTCTAATTTGTTTTTACTGGCAAAAAATTGTCATATATGGCTGGGGTTAATCAGGTAACACAACTAAACATAAAAGTCAGCTTTGACAATGTCACTGAGTGGTTGTGATTATAGGTCATACCCTCATGCTCTGATGATAAGTAAGAGAGTCTCCACAGAGTTACCCTTTACCTCTTAAATGGGAACAGAAATAAAGACATCAATTAAAACATGAATGTGGAAATTTTCTTTGCACGAAGGAAGCAAGCATTAGTTTGTGAAATTAATGACAGCATATTGTGGTGTTATATGCATCAGTTTTTTTGTTTATTTCTAGGCATAAACACCATCCAGTCTGCATGCAATAATTATAATAGGAGTTGGAGAAGGTTTTTCCTTGACATTTTTTTTACTATTTATATCTATTGATTGCTGTCACAGAAAGGTTAGTTTGGTAACATATACTTACGGTAAAATATAACGGTTTATAATATTTTCTGATAACAGTTTTTATTTTATAGTTCTGTAGTTTAAACCAAGAATAACAGAAGTATATGACTTTTGTCTGTACATTCTGTCATTTTCAGTTAAAAAAATTATTTTGTCTTACCATAGCAAATAACTCGCTTTCAAATATAAAACTCAAAGCCAGTGTCTTTCCATAGGAAGTGTAGTTCTTGTTCCAGCTTAACTCCGGTGAAACATGGTTACTGTCATTCAGAAACTTCCTTAGAGAAGTTTTGGGATTTTTTTCTCTTTCCTCAGCAAAGGCATACATTGTGTCATCAATCCACTGTTGAACAAATAAATAAAAATGATATAGATCTTCTTATTTCAGCCAACACTGAAGTCAATATTTCAAATTCACTAGGCTTTCAAAGAAAAAAAATGTTTGGTTGGGTTTGCTAAAATTAGTAATGGAGACCTTTATTTTCACCTAGACTGCTGACAAGGACAATTTTGTATATATGTATGGAAGCATCTCTTTTATATCACCATCCCGACATTAGTTGTGAGGCCCACGCCTATAAAAGTACATCCATACAGAGATAGTGCCATTTAGTAAAATCATGAAAAACACTATTTAATTGTTCAGTAGTAAGGCATCGTCTTGACTATGAGAAGAGGTAATGTATTGGCCTCCTCAGCTTATTGCCAAATAAAAACTGTAAAATGTATTAATAAACACATAATTCACCAGCGGTCATATTCATGAACAGCAACAAGTGATATAACATTCTGTGTAAACAGTCAACAAAACAACAAACAATATAGTGATACTCCATCAGTTACTGTAACAGTGATCTCATTTCACTCGAAACCGACACTAAAGTCAAGGAAAGTAACTCAGAATCACTCGGATCACACTTACATAATAGTCCATCTCTCTCTTTGTGTCTAAACAATGCTTTAACAGTTTGAGACGATCTTTCTTCCATTGTTCTGACTTCTTGTCCTTAAGTGCTTCTCTCATAATTTGCTGCTTTCTTTTCTGTACACAAAAGGAATAATGGATATACATTATTTAATTGATAGCCTGAAATGAAACAGGAAGTCAGTAGCTCATGATCTTCTTAGCTACGTCCTGTTTATATTCAAGAAACATGATAACAATACCTCATTCCTATCTCTAATCAGGGGAGATAAGCAGGCATTGCTGGTTTACCCAGACACGTCTCATAGTAAGCAAACAGGGCTCTCACACCCCATTTTGGGACTGGAGCCCAGGGCCCTTAGAATTGGGAAAAATAACGGCGTTTTCCTTAGAATTGGGAAAACTTGGGGTCTAAATTGGGAAAAAAAGATACTTTTTTGCATTCGGAATGTTCGGCCCCAAATCTTTTTTTTTTTTATAATTTTTTATTTTTCAAAGATTTTTCAAAACATAAATGTTTTACTTGCAGCCTTTCAAAGCCACACATGCCCTCACACACCAATACACAGACATGCCATACAATTTAAGGGCCTAACATCATTTTCACTCTAAATTGTACATAACATATCATTATCATTCGCAAAGAATTACATGTATCAAACAAGCACCAATCCTCATCGTCATCATCAAACATCAATCATCATAATCATCATCATCAAACATCCAGACTATTAACCAACAGAAAATATAGGTGGCTACGGAATTTGGCCCAGCCCATACCTTCTATGGGATGAGTACACACACACACACTCACACACCCTCTCTCACACGTATATACACACACATCCTCACAAGATCATACACACATTACATATGACAGATGGGAAAGGGTGAGGCGGAGGGGAAGGAAAGAAGGGGCAATGGATTGAAGAGGGAGAAGAGAGAAAGAAACAAGCTGGAGGGCTTTATCAGATACTGTCTATTTTAACATTTACAGTTAATATATAGGTCAAAATGAGGAAAATGGAATAATGGTTGAAATTGTGGTGATGTCAAGGTCAATGGAGAAAGTAGCTCAAGATATAATTTATAAGTCCAAAACAGGTTTCCATTTTTTCCAGTTGTTTTCAAAATTCCTTTTTATGTGAGTTCGGCCCCAAATCTGGCAGATCAAGAGCCCTGGCAAAGGTAGATATAATTGGATAACTATTGGCTGGCCCATCCATACTTGACCCCTGAAGCATTTGTAATTTAATTATACATTGATAATTATACCTACCTCGTAGATTAGTTGCCAAAACATCTTTAGAACATTAAGCTTGGCGCTTTCACCTTTGCCATTGGACCAGAAGAAAGTCAAGGCTGCCTGATTACTTTTCGTCCAGTTTGAGTTCCCAAAATTCTTTAAAGATGTAGGGAGCATCATCTGTATTGTGGTACCATCTTTGTCTCGATACACCTCAACTGGACAAGGTATACATCCATTATCTATCAGAAAGAAAATGTATGATACAATTAAACCAGATCTGATATTTTATCAAAAGTGAAGTTTATTGTTGCTGTATATATTATTACCAGCCACGGACACAGACGTGCCAGGTTTGGGTGGTGGAGGAAAGTCAGAGTTCCCGGAGAAAAACCACTGACATGAGACCTGTACCTGGTGACTGCCCCATAAAGGCCTCAAACCCGCAACTCAGAGGTGGAGGGCAAGTGAAAAAGACAGTCAGATGCCTTAACCACTCCGCTACCATGGCCCCATTAATTAAAATCTGATTTCCTTTCATTGATTGGGATTTCACCTCTCCTTTTCTTTCTGGTCAAAAGAGAGGTGAATCCCTATCAGCGAAATAGAATTAGATTTTCAGGTCTGATGTTGATATTAATTAAGTTTAAATAGTGAGGTGAAGCAATGCTTGTGACAGTAAAATCATGACATATCGCCTTCAAAACATAGAGGGGATAAATCCCTCATTCTACTTCCTCTAAAACCTATTCATTCAAAATCAATAACTTTTGGTCTGTTTTTGTGCATTTTATAAGAAAACATGATAACACTATCGTGATACAAGATGGTTATAATCCTTTAAAAGTCAAGGGTGACAAAGTGTCTCAAAAGGTCATTAAGAGAAATGACAATTTTATCCTATGTTATTACATCTGTATGTATTTAAATGACGTTTTCTATTTTGCCGTTTGAACATTATTTTGACATTTTATCCAAGAACTGATTCGGACATTTTCAAATACTGATCAAAAGTCAAGAAATATCAGGTGATTTTAGCAATTTTCACAATTCGAGCAGGCCATGATATGGCTGATACCAGATTTTCACAATTGGTTTTCAAAACTGAACATGCAAAGCAGTAATGAAAAGAGAAATCGGTTAATGAATTTAGAAAAAAAAAGGGGTTTTAAAAAGTTTGTCGTCATTAATTTTTCTGAAACACTGGTGTAATTTTGAGTTCGTAATACAAACTCTACCAGAGATATGACTCACCAAAAGAATCGAACATTAAACTGCTGGAACAGAATCTGTCCAGTGAGGTCCAAGGCTCAGTTCTCCCTGGGATTTGTGGGAAACACAGCTTCCTGTGTAAGGAAAGAATCAAGTCAGTCAGATCAGGACTTGTGGGTCTCCAATGGGTCTAACATATATCACTGATCTTACCCAGTATCTTTGCTAATGTTTAGTGACTAAGGTCGATACCTCCATGTTTATTGCAAGACTAAGCAGCTGGATTGTGAGAAAGCTATATACTACTAAGACAATTATATGCAGAAAGCTATATTATAAAGTTGTCCATGGCAACAGAGCTAGATATGTAACATTCGTGGTTACAAGCTGATCGAAGATGAGGCTTTACTATACCTTGACTGAATAGAAAAAGGTAATTCTTTCAGAGTTGAGAAAAAAGACTTGATTAAACTTAAGGCTGATCAAAACCTACCCTGTGTAGGGGTCTAAATTAATGCTTCTCATTGGTGGCAACAGTGTTTTCATATTTCCAGTCAAATAACCTTCAGAATTCAGTCGAAGGTCAAGGTTATCACAGCAAAGGTCTGCTTCTGATGGGGGAATTAACCTGAGTAGAAATAAAATTCTTTTCATTAAATGAACAAGAGGCCTAGCAGACTTGATGGTAGTCTAAGGTGAGCAATATGAAAGGTTATAAGGGTTATTAGCTTTCAAGTGTCACAAAACAGAAATTGTATCATTGATGATAAAAAGTGACCAAAAACAGGGACGAGATTCAGATTGATTCCCATAGTAAGACCACAGCTTCCCTGTTATTACCTTGTGGGATCACAGACTCTAAGGGGCTGTAGATGGGACCTCCACAGAACATGAAGAGGCTGAGGCAGCCCAGATCTAGTAATCATCGTTGAGAGAGCATGCCAGACATTGTTCTTTTGTTTACGACTAACTCCACTTGTTTGTGGACTAGAGACCATCCGTCGACCAGGAGAATCTTGGGTGCCATCAGCATTTTCCCTGTAAAATATCAATTAATTCATTTAAAATACAGATAATTTCTACATTACATACTAGATTCAATTTCTACTTGACAAAAGGATAAAACATCCATTGAATTCTTGCTTTATGTAGAAATGTTGATAGTTTGTGTAACTCTAAAACAGATTACAAGATTAAAATTGTTAGTTTTGACTTTTGCTATGAATCTCATACAAACTGATCAATGCTACCCCTGTCAGTTGATCATTTCCCACAATATAACCTTGCGGTACTTCCTACCTCTGTCAGAACCATGTGTCATTAGATAAACATAGGATCTTAATGTTTGTCATTTCATAGGAGATTTCATGAAATGAGTCTTACAAGTTTTTAACTTTTATGAGCTTTGGCAGGTAAAAATCAAAACTTCAAGACGAGTTTTATAAAATTTCATACAAAATGAAAAAACTGGAAGATATGTTATACGACTGAACTCAGAAAAGTTCAATTTAAACACTATTTACAGTCAAAATGTGGTAAAAAAAAAATGGAAGCAGACATGCATTTTGTTGTGGAACATTCAATTTCTGACTGATACAGCCGATGAAAAATTAATACAAAATTATGGACAAATTCAGTGGAGAGCAGAATAATTGTGTGATCAGGATTGCTTCTCTTCATTCTCTATACGGTAACCTTCAGATCTCACCTCTGTAAGAATGCCCTGTAGGTGTTATCTGCATCAGAGCCCTGCCCAGTCAAAGCTTGAAGCATGCTAAGATAATACTGGTATTTAGGATTCTTATCCACCATTGTCTCCAGTCTCCTCTTTGCTTCCACAAAGCTGGATGGTTCTGTACCTGTAGAAATAATACAGTTAAAAAAAACATGCAAGACATCAAAATATGTATAATTTAATGATGCAACATTCATTTTTTTTTTTTTTGCCATTTTATTAAAATATCCTCATTCCAAGTATAAACTTAAGGCAGAGAGTGATTTGACCTTACTGCTCATTGACAAGTTTGCCCTTTAATGTTTCAGACATTTCTGGGTAAGAGAAAAACTGTTAATTGTCAATTATAAACTCATTTGTGAATCATCAAAAAATTAAAAGTTCAGTCAAATGAAAGTTATTGCAAAATAAGAATAATTACCGGCGACGTTTGAGCCTTCACTTATACACATCCTATACAGCTTTATTATAACATTATTTTTGGCCCAGCGTCATAGAATATTTATCTTCCTAGAATTACAAATGGATAATTTTTACTCTTTAGCATGAGATATTCCATGTGTAGAAACTTTCATCGATTGTGGCTGTAAACAAACTATGAATTAACAATTGAAACTAAAAAGACTACATATGAAAGAATTGTGGGTATAGTCATGTTGTATTATATTTTTATATTTTTAATTCATGTCTGGTTTAAAATATGAAAACATGTTTTTTGTTATACAGCTGCAGTTATTAAGAACAAAAGAGTTTAATTTGCTACCTAATAACTGAAATATATGACTGACTGATACTGAATATGACACATGACCAAGTGACGGTCTGTTCCATGACATTCAACAAACAAACGTAGCTGACCTTCACATAGGAACAGTGCCACCAATAACAACACATGTGGAGGAACAGCGCCACCAATAACAGTACATGTGGAGGACCAGCACCACCAATAACAACACATGTGCAGGAACAGTGCCACCAATAACAGCACATGTGAGTGCTTCAGGCCTCATGCTCCTTTTGTGTTTTTTTCTTTTCATCAAATACTTGACCAAACTACTCGTTATTACATGATTACAATACTAAAGAATAGCTGTACACCAGTGTCATATGCATTTTACCTACCATTGCCAGGTCTAGAGTGAAAACACAACATAGAGATGACTGCCATGTTTGCTGCTCCCTGATTGAAAGTCTTGGAGGTCACAACATATTTCCAATGGTCAGCTGCACTTCTGTTGTTGTTTGCAGTCATCATACTAGATATTGAATGTAAAATATTCTCTATCATATTTGTTCTTCTATTTTAAACAGATGCAAATCAAGATATGTATCAAATACAGAAAAAAATAATATTGCCACTGTTGGCGCTAATATAGCAAAAGACAAGGGGTAGTATACCCAGTAGTGAAAATCATGCCTACCCTTAGAGGCTGAGTATGTACTAGACAATAAGACTCACACCTGGCCACACACACTGGCTAGTAATATTACATATAAACTCACCCCTGATCATACACAGTGGATAGTAACATCGCATATAAACTCACCCCTGATCATACACACTAGCTAGTAACATCACATATAAACTCACCCCTGATCATACACACTAGCTAGTAACATCTGATATAAACTCACCCCTGATCATACACACAGTGGACAGTAATATCAGACATAAACTCACCCCTGATCATACATGCTGACTAGTAACATCACATATAAACTCACCCCTGATCATACACACTAGCTAGTAACATCTGATATAAACTCACCCCTGATCATACACACTAGCTAGTAACATCAGATATAAACTCACCCCTGATCATAAACACTAGCTAGTAACATCTGATATAAACTCACCCCTGATCATACACACAGTGGACAGTAATATCAGACATAAACTCACCCCTGATCATACACACTAGCTAGTAACATCAGATATAAACTCACCCCTGATCATGCACACTAGCTAGTAACATCAGATATAAACTCACCCCTGATCATACATGCAGTGGATAGTAACATCAGATATAAACTCACCCCTGATCATACACACTAGCTAGTAACATCAGATATAAACTCACCCCTGATCATGCACACTAGCTAGTAACATCAGATATAAACTCACCCCTGATCATACACACTAGCTAGTAACATCAGATATAAACTCACCCCTGATCATACACACTAGCTAGTAACATCAGATATAAACTCACCCCTGATCATACACACTAGCTAATAACATCAGATATAAACTCACCCCTGATCATACATGCCGTGGATAGTAACATCAGATATAAACTCACCCCTGATCATACACACTAGCTAGTAACATTAACTGCTGTCCCGTCACTTCCTGAGCATTAATCATAGCTTTTCCTTTCTCCAGTGCAATGTCTGAAGCCATTCTATAGAATCGACATGCCAGATCAGGTTGCCCTAACTGGGCATGCATACGTGCAATTTCTGTCATATACATTGCCCGATAGCGACCTAGAACAAATCAATACAATAAATGATGATGCAAATTTAACTAAAATAAATTCAAATCAGATCCTGTCTGATGCAAAGAAAACATTAAATCTTTTAATAAAATCATACAAATTCTTTAAATCTTTTTTTTTTCTTACAAAAGAGCAACCATAAAAAAAACACGACAGATTAAGTTTATATCCGGTCTTAAAATCAGGTAGGGTATTACAGACAGACTTAGAGTATCTACTTCTGTGTATCAGTATAGTATTACAGACAGACTTAGTGCGTCTACTTCTGTGTATCTGTAGAGTATTACAGACAGACTTACTGTGTCTACTTATGTGTATCTGTAGGGTATTACAGACAGATTTAGTGTGTCTACTTCAGTGTATCTGTAGAGTATTACAGACAGACTTACTGTGTCTACTTCTGTGTATCTGTAGGGTATTACAGACAGACTTACTGTGTCTACTTCTGTGTATCTGTAGAGTATTACAGACAGACTTACTGTGTCTACTTCTGTGTATCTGTAGAGTATTACAGACAGACTTACTGTGTCTACTTCTGTGTATCAGTATAGTAATACAGACAGACTTAGTGCGTCTACTTATGTGTATCTGTAGAGTATTACAGACAGACTTAGTGCGTCTACTTCTGTGTATCTGTAGAGTATTACAGACAGACTTACTGTGTCTACTTCTGTGTATCTGTAGAGTATTACAGACAGACTTACTGTGTCTACTTATGTGTATCTGTAGGGTATTACAGACAGATTTAGTGTGTCTACTTCAGTGTATCTGTAGAGTATTACAGACAGACTTACTGTGTCTACTTATGTGTATCTGTAGGGTATTACAGACAGATTTAGTGTGTCTACTTCAGTGTATCTGTAGAGTATTACAGACAGACTTACTGTGTCTACTTATGTGTATCAGTAGAGTATTACAGAGAGACTTAGTGTGTCTACTTCTGTGTATCAGTTGAGTATTACAGACAGATTTAGCGTGTCTACTTCTGTGTATCTGTAGAGTATTACAGACAGACTTACTGTGTCTACTTATGTGTATCTGTAGAGTATTACAGAGAGACTTAGAGTATCTACTTCTGTGTATCAGTATAGTATTACAGACAGACTTAGTGCGTCTACTTCAGTATATCTGTAGAGTATTACAGACAGACTTACTGTGTCTACTTCTGTGTATCTGTAGAGTATTACAGACAGACTTAGTGTGTCTACTTCTGTGTATCTGTAGAGTATTACAGACAGACTTACTGTGTCTACTTATGTGTATCTGTAGGGTATTACAGACAGATTTAGTGTGTCTACTTCAGTGTATCTGTAGAGTATTACAGACAGACTTACTGTCTACTTATGTGTATCAGTAGAGTATTACAGAGAGACTTAGTGTGTCTACTTCTGTGTATCAGTTGAGTATTACAGACAGATTTAGCGTGTCTACTTCTGTGTATCTGTAGAGTATTACAGACATATTTAGTGTGTCTACTTCTGTGTATCAGTAGAGTATTACAGACAGACTAGTGTGTCTTGTACAGTGTATGGATAGATTATTAAAAAAGAAGACTTTCTCCTGTCTGTAACTACATGTATTTCAGATTATCATCTTACTGCGTTTCTCCCCATCAATGAGTTTGGTGAAGAGAGCTGAAGCTTGCTGGAGATCTCCTCGCGCCCAAAATACATATGGAGTGACTTTGTCAAAGAACCTATCTGTAATATCAGCAAACCTACAAAATAATTTAAAATTAAGTCATCTGATATTGTTAATTACATATGCCTTTAGGCAAAATTATATTTTGATTGGACAGCTTTCTTAAATTGTGGCAACATTCATTATGTCACAAAAAACAGCATATTTCTCCTCAAAACATGTTTACAAGTACTTGAAACAATGGAAGATTATTGCCAATTTGTTGATGATGTTACAATGTAGAAACAAAGGAAGCAGATCTGTTAAGAACCTCTTAAATCTCAGCCTCTGCCTTGTAGTGTTGTAGTGTTGAATCACAGGTTTTTTTAGCTTCATTTTGTTTGGAGTATCCTGGAACTTAGTTTAAATCCCAAAGGAGAAAACACACAACATTTAATAAGACTTAACAACTAATTTACATTGTTGAGTATCAGTGTGCACATGCACATGTTTAAGACATGAAGAAAGTGTTGGAGGTGAGGACATTTTTAGTTATAGAGCGTAGCATCATTTTTCATATGTCACAAAACCAAAACAGAGCTTTTATTTGAAAATCCATACTATGAGAATTGAACAGTAGATGCCTGATACATTGAAGGCGTCTGACTTCCAATTCTCACAGCAGTCCTGTATGTATATTTCATAAACAAGAATGTAGTGAAAAATTACTGTCTTAACCACCAATGACCCATACAGTGACATGTGTTCTTTTTCTGGAAGTGAATGGACTATTTTTTACACCACTTTACCTGACTTTAAGAGCTCCTTTTACTCTACCCATGGCTGTTTTTGTTGCAGACATGATTTGTTCCGACTCTGATGTGTACTCATTCCCCACTCCAATGTTCCTTTTACCAAGTACTGCTGGCATCATAAGATCCACTAGTGTGGCAAAGCCTGTATATTTAATGAAAAGAAAATATCAAACCTGCAACCTGCAGAAAAAAAACACATCAGTTCTGCTGAAACAAGACCACTATCATGCGCTAGCTGCAAATTAATCTTTTAATCCCAGTTAGTAGATTTAGAATCAAAACAGCACTATATAAAAAAATGAACACTTCGAAATCTCCATGTCATTGTTACAAAATGTCTACACAGTATTGTGTTTATGTTTACCGATGGATGTAAGAGTCTTGGAAAATGTATGATACCAAAGGATTAAATGTGAGTCTAACAAAGAGACTCCTCTTATAATGTCTTATAATACATGGTTTGTGTTGCTTTTTGACTGAACAACATATGGGAGACCCACTGAAAACTATCCACAAGTAATTGGAGTAATATGTCTTGCTCAAGGACACAACAATGACAAGACAGGCCTGTCAGCTTCCCAGCTGTCCGAGACACACACACTGCCCCAAAGGTAGGAAGTGCTGAACAACACACCTCAGATCTTTATCTGAGGCTGCATGAGCCAACGTTATAAACTGGGCTATCGCAAAACCCTAAAATACAATACATGATTATAAACACTAAGAGAATACAGTATGAAACAGCTATTTACCTTTATTTGAGAATCCCATGCTTGATTTGGGGATTTCATCAAACTCAATGCAAAATTATGAATTCATTTCATTATCACTAGTTAATACTTAATATGATTAGAATACTGTGTACTATTTTAACCATTTTGTATACTTACTCCCAAGAAACCTTTGATGGAAAACATAGGAATAAGCGTCATAATTATTCTCCCACACGTCTGAATTGGTAACAAATGTGAATGGCAGGATCGAGGATGTCTTGCTACAGGCATATTCAGAAGAATAATGAGATGATAAAAACTTTGGAAAGAACACAGAATTCCATATATTCCTTGCAGGCAGAAGGCATTTGTAATCATGACTGCCCCAATCATCACCATCATCATAATAGCAATAGAAAAGTTCACCCTTCCGATCTTCAAATGGCTGCCATTCAGCAAAATCATTTTGCAATCTTGACACTTGGAATTTCCTGAAAGTGAAGTGTTGGTTAGAAGTTTTCACCATATTTTTGAGTCCTTTTGGAAGTGGTATCTGAAAGTTTCTTTGACGCGTGCAGTTCAAACAAAGTTCCACCAGAGAAGGTACAGCCTTGTCCACACAAATCAGACTGCCTTCCACCATTTCCCGAGTTTCTCTTATGATGTCTGGCTCAATGTCAACTTCAAGCAATTGTAAGATTTCATCTACATGTACTGTATAATCATGTTTTCGACGTTTACGTTTCTGTTTTTTGCTAGGTGCGTGTTTCTTTTCTGGATGTTCTTTTCTCACCACAATATTACTCTCTTTACTTCTAAAATTTTCATTGCTGGACATGTTTTGGATAGCAAGGGAAGTAACCCCTTGACTTATATCACTATCTGCTGATGATAAATTCTCCTCTGCTGAAAAATACAAACAGTCATCATCAGAACTAAATACATCAAGTTGTTGACCAGAGCAGCTGGGATCCATTAAATGTGATTCAATACTTGAAATGGACATTTCCATTTCATTCTCATCAGATGATGGAGAAAATTTTGCAGCCTCCTCCTCAACATTAGACTGTCTTTTAGATCTTCGTCGCTTTCTGTTCACAGGTTTTACCTCCTGTTGATTAGAAAATTCCCAAGACACCATCCTAGTATAGGATGGTCGTGTTAGTCTTTGTTTAATAAGGGATTCCAGCCCTGACCCTTCCTCCATCATGGTTTAATGTCAGGAAAATTACTGGATATATAGTGTTGTAAACATGCTCCTGCAAAACACAAAACAGAAGATATCAAATACTACACAAATGTGAGTGACTCTAAGTGGAATCACAGAATATTAGGTATCGCATTGCCTTTCTTTGGAGGTCAGTGATACTGACGATACAGAACTATCATACCCGACATGTTGAATCGTGTTAAGGTAATGTTATCAAAAGGTATTCAGAAGATCTTCACAATATGGTGAACATAATATCTAAACTGAAGAATTCTCATCATCGATAATAGCTAATTGATAATATTCATTACAGTGCCATCATTGTCTACATGTTTCGCCTGCTAGGGGACTGTCACCAGGAGATTTTAAAACAATCATCTACAGAAGACTATTGCAAAAGGTGACAATTTTACTTTCCAAGCAAGTTTTCAACCTCTAATACATTCCACCTTGTAGACAAAGCGTCCTAATTGATGTGGCCAATTTGAATATACTTTGTATCATCAAAAGAAAGACTCACTCAGAAAATTAAGAATGTCTTTTTTAAGTCTGGAAACAAAATATCACCCTAAGCCTAACATCCTTGTAGCCAAACATGTTCATACAGTCTGAAAAAATGTTATTCGGGCTGGGAACACCTGCAACACTTCTTTGTATCTTATGACTGTGACCGTCCTATATAAAACAATGCATTTTTGTAATTTGATTTTATCCACAATACTTACACAGGGACAGAGACAATACAGTAACACAAAGTAACAGCAACTCAGACAATTAAAACTGCAGAACTAAATATCTAGGGAGTAATAACCTATGTAAAATGTACAATGTGAAAAATATCAGCCATTGGCTTTAACACACTTTTCCTATACTCTCCAAATCACAAACCAGACACTACAGATTCACTAATACATGCTGGATAATGATGATACATGTTAATCAACATCATATCACAAAACTTGCTAACCATATAAATACTTGCAGACTACATATGTTTTACATTTTTGACACAAATAATGTACTTGCATTTTGAAAAATATATAGACAAATACGTTCATTCTCATAAAAGGACATAACTCTCAAAAATCCTTCTAATTACATCCCTCCCTCCTCTGATAAACAGACAAATGTTATCACGACAAATCTTGTGATATATCTGGGGCGACAAGAATGTCTATCAGTCAGTAGGGTCCTCCATGTATATACTCCTATGTGTGAATAGATTGTTGACGATCTTCAGCCAGAGAACTTTACATACTGCAATGTGGTCCACTTACACTGCTCACCGCCAGAACTTCTGGTCTTTGATCCCTAGCTGCCTTGCTCCATCCACAGTTTAGATCGCGTATCTATCGAGAATTTCTTAGCTTCGGATATCGCCGTCTTTCAGAAGGTTAAAAAATCACGAAAATATGTTAGAAGTATGCTAACAAATATAGGTAAGACTATAAAAAATGTATTGATTACCAATTATAAGGCGCACACAGTCGTAAAATACATCATCTTTCCGGAAAGGTGTTTCGATTCCTAACCTGGTAAACTGACGGTAAAACTGAAGGTAGCCTTGTCAGCCCAATGTCTGATATACGTTCTAACTATTGGTATCATATGATTAAAATGCAGGATTGTTACCAGGTTTTTATTCAACAAACAGCAACCTCAGCACATCGTATCGGAGAATCGTCATGTGCCTTCTAGTTCTTTCTGTTGGCGAGTAAACACACGTCAGGTTTATTTACTTCCGGTAAATGACAGATAAATGATGACCGGCACGAGTGGCCTCCCCTGTTCCAAGGGATTTCATAACGTTAGGACATCGAATGCCGCTGATGAAACGTAAGACCTGCTAGGATGCAATATACCCTGGTGGCAACATTACATGTTCATTACTGATATTTAACTAGACTGGTACTATGTAAGTTATGATAATCTTTTGCATCGGTATATGTATGATGTCATATTACATAATAAAATGTATTTTTTTAGACTGAAATTTATAATGACAATAAACTTGATTTTGCAAAACCAAGATGTCAACCTTTAGACTTTTTTGTTTTTGTTTTTTTTTCACAACAAAACCAATGGACGCATATATGTGAAATTTCATAACGAAAAATCCAAGCATTTCTGTAAAACTAGACTAGGCGCACGCGCACGCACACACACACACACACACACCCTCACACACACACACACACACACACACACACACACACACCCTCACACACACACACACACACACACACACACACACACACACACACACACACACACACACATATATTTTTCAGCGGATGGACATTCATTCTGGTCGTAATAGACAATGCAAATCGGACACCAGCGACAACCTACATTGTTTAAGACCGCTTGTCAGCAATGAAATTAACACGGGAACCTTATATATGAAATCTGAGACAGACCAATCGGGTTCTTCTCAGGAAATAGCAACGCAAACTTTCTTTGTCAAAATCCAAGATGGCCGCTTGTCATCCAGTTCAGTACTTTTTCTGATCAGTTCCTAAATCGAAAGGGTACGACTAGGGACCACGGGAAACCTGTATATAAAATTTAGTTGAAAGATCCATTTCGTTCTTCTCAAGAACTCGCAAAAGCAAACTTCCATTGTTAAAATCAAAGATGGTCGCCTTTCAGCGAGTTCAGTTCTTTTTCTGACCAGTCCTAAAAAATCAGCTCTTTTCAAGAAATAACGTCAACCAATGTTCGTTGTCGAAATCGAATTAAGATGGCTGCCTATAAGGCACTTGTTTTTTATTAGTCCCCAAACCGACAGAGTACAATTAAGGACATATTGGTAGTATACATCATAAACATGAAGTTGTCAACATCATGTACATTTGAAATTTGAGAAAGATCCGTGATAAACTTCAAACAAAATCTTCATTGTCAAAATAAAAAAATATATCACCGCAAGTAAGCCAATTGTTTTCCTGACCAGCCCTAAAATCAAAAGAGCTTCATTACAGACGATTTAAAGAAAACGTACATTTGAAGTTTTTGAAAGAATAATCCAGTACTTCTCGAGAGATAACCGTGAATAACAAATTATTACTCTCAGAAACCAAGATGGCTGCCTGTCGGTCATATTGTTTCCCCATCCATCCCAAGAATAGACAAACACACATCTAAGTGCCAAGGCAAATCTACTTGTACATATGAAATTTGAGAATGATAGATCCAATGCGTTCACTAGAAATAACAATAAAAAGAATCATAAACGGACCGACAGACCACTGAAGAAGGTCGATTTAAAAAGTCCGCCATCTCGTAATGTTGGGCTAAGACTGAGATATCAAGCATGCTATTTGTGCCGATAATACCCCGTTTAAATATTATGTCTCACCACTACTTTCTTAAGTTGTTTGTATTAAATCTCTGACGATATCGATAGGATACTGTTCCTTACGGTTAGCCAAGACAGTGCGGTTTATCTTATTCCCTTGATCAATGACGTTTTTTTTCATTTGTGACAGATTTATCGACTTGTTTCCTCATATGAACTAGTTTCTTATTTTTCTTTGAATTTATAAAAAATAGCAACAAAGCTATGTCGGGCAAATTCGGTTTTTGGATGGTTTGATGAAGCCACATTTGACGATATCGAATATACGTTAGAGTGTCTCCGATGTGACGAGTTCAAACTGGTTACAGCATCAGTGTTGAATTATTGCCGTTAACAGTTAAATTGTACACAAGATATTGCATTATGTGTTACGACACAATAAAAAGACAAATATGGGTCACAAGTACTAAGATTGCTCTGTATCTGGGTTTTAATACTGAACATAGCGATATCTCCTGGTATCCACACTACTCCTATTTGGGGTAGCGTATGTCCTGTTACCCCTATAGTCATCCCGTTGGAGCTGCCTGTATACAATGGCCGAGGAACACACACAGAAGAAAGGGATATGCATGAGACCCATTTGCCCGGGGTTTATCTTGTTGTTGGTTGCCTCCTGTGTGATCGTCATTTGTGTTGTGACTTTTGAGGATGACCAAGTACGAATGAAGTTGCAGTACGACGCGTCTGGTCTGGCTTGGTGGAAGACATCCATTATTTATCAGGTGTATCCTAGGTCATTCAAGGACTCGGATGGGGATGGAGTGGGTGACCTCAGAGGTATGAATAGTGGCAATGAAGGACTTAAAATGAAAACCAAAATATATATTGTATTTTACAACCTGTGGTCATTCGTCATGGTGGATTCATCACACCATGCCAGCAAACTGCAGTTACTACACAATAATTTGTAAATAGAAAACGGAAATGTTATGTCATGGAAAAAATATAATGACCGCGGCACGACAGTGTAAATGAAGATCTGTATAGGACGCGAGTAAATCAAACAAGGGCCATCAGAGACGGGTTATGCTCCCCGCAAGGGACTAATTCCTCTTATAGTTTTAGTGTAATGTTACGGACAAAATTTAAGTATGAAAAATTACAAAATCGTAAATTATACAAACAGGGAGTGATGGTTCTTGTACACTTCACTTCTCCTTGTTAAGATCTGTCTACCTATGACGCTTTATGTTGGTGCCGCTTACCGTTTTTGTGTTATGCTCCGGACAAAATTATGACGGACGGACGAACGGACGGATAAATCGGATACTATATACTCTCCTTTCGGGGAGTATGATAAATGTTATCGATTATGAAACACCACGTAATGGAATTCTTGCATCTTTAACTATATAAGTCAGAGTATAATGTACTAGTATTACGTCCAGTTCCTTTTTGATGAAGTACATATATGTAATATGACAATAAAGCAGTAACCCTCGTTGGTGATAGGGGTCATGGAAAGGTCAATTTCGTAATTTCTATAATATAATTAAGTTATAGCTTTTATGAAAGGAAACAATGATTCGTATTCGTATTTCTTCCCGCTGGTCAGTTAGGCGTGACTACCAAAAGGACAATTGTACATACTGCATCACAAAGTACCATTTGTAACCATTGACATTCGTTAGGTATTTTACTAATGACATAACATGGAAATCAAAATACTTTATCAGGAATTAATTGTCTACCACTTGTTAAACTTGCGTAAAATTTTAGGTTGTAGATAACACTGTCCATGCAAATTTCGAACAGAAACTTAAAAGAACTAATTTCCAGCGTGTCCATTGCTGTCTGATGCAAGCTTTTTTTAACACACCAGTGAGTTTCTTATGATGTCACTTGCCAGCCATACGTTACTATACATTATGTATATATGTTTTTTGTTATATAGGGATAACGCAGAAGCTGGACTATCTGGCTGACCTTGGGATAGGTGCAATATGGATCAGCCCATTCTTCACCTCCCCTATGAGGGACTTCGGTTACGACATCTCCAACTACACAGAGGTCGATTCCATGTTTGGTACTATGGAGGACTTCGACACCTTATTGAAGGAGGCAAAACAGAGAGGTATTATAGATTTGAAGTAATGTTTTAAATGTTATATATATATGTAACACAGCTGACAAAGGAAGACAATTTGTGACTTGAGGCCTGTCTTGGCCTCGAACTCATGATCTACAACACCAAACCGGCAAGCCAAGACATTCGACTACTGCCTTACCAACTACACCACCCCGACATCCCCATGGGCTATACAGCGATTTGAATTTCCTGTCTAAATTGAACCCGTGTTCATTTGCATACTATAATATATTTGAATCTTTAAGGAATAAGAACAATTCTGTGGCATAGATTGTATGTATGTCACGTCGTGTGATAAACGTGGAATTGTAGCACGAAGCTCGAGATTTCTGGATTATTGAGGGTCCATTGTGTAAGGAAATAAAGGAGTTTTTAAATCTTTGAAGAATGCAAAAGTTCATTCTACGTCTCATTCTTAAACTCTTTCAATATCCCATATTAGGGACACAGCCATTAAAATCGTCTGCTATATATTTCTGATGCTTCTGTGTGTGGGTGATTCATAATTCATGTTATCAACATATATCTAAAGCCAGCCTTAGATATTTTTAAATTCACATATCAGACTTGTTAAAGTTGATAATGTAACACATCTGGAAAGTTTAAATATTAAAAATTCGGGAGTTTAGGGAAAGATGTTTTATTGTAGCGAGTGTAAAACCTCACTGATAAGGGATTTCGAACATTATCAACATGATTAATAAAGGGATGTCTTGATCTAGACATCGATCACATATAAAATTGTCCTACTCTGTCTCCCGGTGCTCTACTGGTATTTACCTGCTGTTACAGTATTACTCTTATTTCAGGGTCTTTTCTCTCTCTATCTTTTCAAAGACAACTGATAAATGTTGAAATGGATAAAGATCATTGCTTGTTGTAATTAACTCTATAGACATGACCCGGCTTCAGTGTTGTGAGCTCTCCAACAAATCTGTTTTCGTGGTCTTTGAGCCTAATGCTGTCAAAATGCATTTTGTCTTAAAGTTTGGTACCATCGTACAAGTTTGTAGTAATATCTTATGTTTTCCCATCGTTATCCGTATTGGTGATAGGAGGATGGGATTACATACATAGGGACATTAGATTCGGAATACCGTTCCAACGAAAGATATATATTTAAACAGTGTAGCTTGTTGTAATTTATTTTCAACTCAATATTTTAACATTTTAAATAGTGATTAGCATAATCATTCATGTTTGTTTCTTTGAAGGTCTAAAGATAATCCTCGACTTTGTTCCTAACCACACCAGTAACGAAAGTGTGTGGTTTCAGGAGAGTAGGAAAGGACCTAACAACTCTTATAGCGATTATTACATCTGGGAGGACGGCGTCACTCTGCCGAACGGTTCCTTAGGACCTCCCAACAACTGGGTAAGGATTAGGATAGATCTAGAGGACCTACGAATACTACAGTAAAGATTATTTTGAGTAGACCCAGGGGAACTCCGAATAAATTGGTAAGAATTAATTTAAAAGTAGGCATAGAGGACCTCCGAATACTTGGATAAAGATAATATAGAGTAGACACAGAGGACCTCCGAATACTTGGGTAAAGATCATATAGAATAGACACAGGGGACCCCGAATACTTGGGTAAAGATTAGTTCAAAAGTAGGCAAAGAGGACCTCCGATACTTTGGTAAAGATAACATAGAGTAGACCAAGATGACCTCCGAATACTTGGGTAAAGATCATTTAAGTAGACCAAGAGGACCTCCGAACACTCGGGTAAAGATAAAAGAGAGTAGACACAGGTGACCTACGAATGATTTGTTAATCTATCACACTCAACTGTCCACATAGTCGCTTAGAATACCTAATGTGGAGCTCTCTCGTTAAAATAATGGCACTAGTGAGGAAACCATTTATCGATTGTAAAACTTCATATTTGTTGTCTCTGTCATTGTCTGTCCTTTCTGTATAACATTTTCTTTTTTTTCTGTTTTCGGAGCCGTTAAAACAAAACCAGTTGCTTGATTAAAAGGAAATAGAATGGAAAGAAATTCAGAGTTAGATAAAAAGTCAGAAGATGAAATATAAGGATTAATTCTATACTTTTAATCAGCGTAATTTTGAATTTGTACCCACTCTTATAAGAGAAATGTATATTAGTTTATATTATTTCTGTGCGTGCTAGTAGTACTTGAGCTCATTTACTTCCTACACGATATCATGGATATTATATGTTTTCTGATTAATTTGTTTATAGATAATAATTACTACTGTTGTGTCGTATTGTGTTGTATGTTATTTAGTTGCTTCAGCTCGCAGGTATCGACTTGTCATCATACAATATATTTGTTTCAGCTGAGTGTGTTCGGGGGTTCGGCCTGGGAATTTGACCATGCCCGCGGTCAGTATTATTACCACGCCTTCCTGAAATCACAGGCTGATCTAAACTTCAACGATCCGAACGTGAAACAAGAGATGAAGGTTGGATAAGTAACACAATTCTTAAAATATCAGTTAGCAATGTATTGTTTAAAACATAACGACTGTGTCCGATCACCATTTTCAGGGAAATACTGAATGCAAATCGTACCATAATTAAAAGCCTGCAATACTTATTTGAGAATGATTACTTAATCATGCTATTACTTAATATTGACTGATCTCGCCAATACCTCACCAATGGTCGTTATACATTCGTGTGCTCCTTACTTCAGAATGTCCTGCGGTTCTGGTTGGACAAAGGAGTTTCGGGATTTCGGTTGGATGCTCTCAAGTTTCTTTTTGAATCAGAAAATGCAACTCTAAACGAAGTTTTGTTGCCGGTATGTGTTTTACATGTGATAACTTCTTACATCTACAACGTTATGGTATGATACGTGGTATAGTTGTGGTATTTGAAATCAAAATGACATTTTATTTGGATAAAAACGTACCTCGGATGTCTTTTGCAACTAAGAATAACATCACGCAAGTTGCTTTACTTTTTTGCTTTGTTTCATGAAAAGAAGCTTTCTCCCGACAGAATCAGTATGAATGGTATGAAGACGATACACACAATCTGACCACAAGCTTCCCCCAAATCAGTGACGTCATCAAAGACTGGCGATCACTGCTCGATGACTACGCCTCTCGTGACAAGGAACCCAAGTAATTATCAATTAGGTGATCTTTTGAAAGTTAAGGACCCACCATGCAACGACACACAGTTTAATTCTAATTAATCCCAAGCCCATTAATTAACAAAATATCTATGATATTAATTAGGTGACATCTATCTATGAATTTACCACTCTGTTCTACTGGTAGAAATTGGATTGCCACGCCCAAAAAGGACATTTTTGTAACTAACGGTAGCTATTACATACAAGAGCAATCTTACAGATATAGAACCACGAAGTCTATGATATCATAATGCCCCTGAATTAGTGAAGGACAATCTGCTTTTTATTGGCTCCAATGCGCTTTATTGGTGTTGATACAATACACTTACAGCATGGTTCCATGCATCCTTCAAGTTGTCACTATATGCAGTTGCCACAGATTTAAAATAATCTTAGTCTATTGAATCAATTTTCTGACAGATTATTTGAGATCCTCGTTTACTTTAATGAAGACTACAGAAAACTGTCATTAATTTGAATTACACAGGTTCCTGGCGGAGGAGTCGTACGCGTTAACAACAGAGATGCGAAACGCTCATTACAAAGCCGGTGCAATGCCCTTCAACTTCGCCCTTCTAGACATGAATTCTACCTGTGGAGGATTATGTGTTAAGCAGTTGATTAACAAAGGGTTGTATGGCCTTGAGGATGATGCATGGCCAAACTTCCAGGTAACTGCAGGAGGCAGGTTGATGGTAATGTCAACACTGATCTTCATGAACTTGTAGGAAGTGTCATGACGTATCACGTCAACGGAAGAGGGTTTGACAGGTGTCACTTGATTTATTGGGATATCCCATGTTGTGTAGAAAACGTGTTTGTCCTTAGACTTTATTTTGTGTTGTGTGATATCTTAATCTCATTTTCTTCTCTCTGATTCCTGTTTTCTTTATTCCAATCAATTGATAGGTGTACAGAAATCAAGTATTCCATTTTTTCTACTTCTTTTTGTTTGGTAATGGATTGTTTCGAAGAACTTAAATCTGTGATAGATATTGTCTGCTAACTTATCATATGGTCGTGATGATGATCACAATTGGGGAATACTTTTTAACCTCGTGAGCATACCTCTTTTTGTGGTTGTGGGTCCTCAGTTCTTATTTACCCTATTTTGATAACATTAATGGTTAATACTGACCTAGACTTACATGCGAATGTTGTCGATATAACAGACGATGCCTATCTTGCTACAGCACGCAGCCATCACAATTTTTGAGTCTCTTCTTTTTCTAACTGATTTTGGTTTCTTTGTTAAATAGTTTTGTCTAAACGTCGAAACTATTATGTTTTTTATATCCCGTTTTAGAACCGTAGCGATGTATGTTTCTGATTGTCATATCTCTATCTGTATGTTGACAGGTGGGTAATCACGATAACAGCCGAGTGGCGTCCCGTGTGGGAAACATGAAATCAGGCGCTGTCACGATGCTTCTTCTTACACTTCCGGGTACACCTACCTGTTACTATGGTGATGAGATAGGCATGACAGATGTGTTCTATTCATTCAAAGAAACACAAGACCCAGCCGGCCTCAACTTTGGAGAGGTAAGCATGATGCACCATACTAACTTCCTTACACCCGGAAATTCCCTCTAAGAAGAGATATCTCTCGCGCTAGTGATACTGACCAGAAGATCGAATATAAAGCCAGACATTCTTCCACTTTGATACAACTTGTTCTAAAACCTTAAATCTGTTATTGTTTGACAGGACGGATACAAGAACAGATCGCGTGATCCGGAGAGGTCCCCAATGCAATGGTCGAGAACAAGGAATGCAGGGTTCTCAACAGGCATACCGTGGCTTCACGTAGAGAGAAATTTCACCCTAACGAATGTCGAGGTAAGTCTGGACAAAGCGCAATACAAATACAAGCTCTAGTTGTGCAAAATGAAATATCAAAGTCACCAAAATTTAATCACATTTTTAATGCAGGAACAGGCTGAAGACCCCAACTCAATGTTGAACCTGTTTCGAAGTTTGGCGAAAATCCGGCAGTATCCATCTTTTCAGAATAGTAAACTCCATTTCGCTGTAACCAACGACAACATCGTGTCCTACGTCAGAATGGCAAAGGGTTGGACCAAATACCTCGTTATGATCAACTTCGGCTCATCCGGAAGTACCGATGACTACTCTCAGGACCCTGTTAGTTCTACTTCTGGCAAGATTGTTGCAAAGACAAATAATTTTAATTCGACAGATATTGAAATAGGACACACCATTTCTTTGGTGGACGTTACACTACAACCTGGACAAGGACTTGTCGTCAAGGTGTTCTTTCAAGATAGTTAGTCAACAGTACCTGTACCAAAGCAATTATCATCAAGAACGTTTACAGAAAGTCACGAGAGATCAATCCAAATTTCTTAAACATTCTTACATTACATATTGTAGATATTGTGTGACTGAAGAACCTATTGACGTCAGCAAATATTTTGTTAATATCACTAGTCATGTCAAAGATACTATATCAGACGATATGAAACAAGACAAAACATTAGAATCCACTGGTACCTTTTGTATATATGATGACCTGGCAATAAAGGCATTGATACATTGTTATATATGGTATATAAAAAGAATGACAACAACTAAATATATAGCGGATTGATGTTTAATTTTGAATTTGTTTACCAATCTTTTAATCATTCCGCTAGGGGTATGCACGTTATTTTTGTTTTTGTCTTTTTGTTTTTGTTTTGTTTCTCACTGTTTGTTTACAAAAATCTGCTAAAATCTAAATAATTCTTCCTTAGTTGACTGTTCTGAAAATAAAACAACTTGATTATTGCATATGCATCAAAACGTGTGAAGATTGTACAGCAGTTAATAGCAATTTTAACCTTTCAATAAAAATTCATAATTAGATACAGCAGAGTAAAACAATGAATTAATCTGCATCATACAGCTGTTTTGTCCTTCTAAGACTCGCCACTTACACTGAGGGACTAAATGTTGAAAACTAAGAGCCGACAGAGGAAAAATTCAAAGTGATCGAAGAACAACCTTGATATGTAAAATATACATATTGTATGTACATTTTTCCTGAAACAGCGCTGTCATTGTCGGAATACACATGTCACCTTCTTTGTGTGTGTTCCGCAGTGACGGAAACAACTGAATTTCATCACGTGCATTAATGCGACAAAATTATTTCTGATTTACTTTTAAAAATATAAATACTTGTCAAATAAGAAATTTTATTTGTTGCAATAAGCATGTTTATTTTTTAAATTCATAAAATTGCTTTTTATATCCATTGATGTGTTAAACTATATAGTTCAACGCTGAATAAATATTTTGACGTACGTCATTCGTCAACGTCAGGTAAACAAAGACTGAATAGGCAAACTGTTAAGGTTTTGTGCATTACGTGAATTTTTTTACGGTAATTAGTGAGAGTTTGAAAATTCTATAAATGATCTTTGATGCACAATAAGCTCAAAATCATGTAAATATTGTAATAATAATGAATTTTGTAGTAATACGCAACTTCAAATTTCAGATCAGCATGGTCTTCCGATAAAACCCAATTTCAAATTGACAAAAATAGCTTTGAATAATGTTTTTAGTTTGGTTAAATATGCCTAAAATATCAAGCACATAGGAGATCTTATTTTCCCTGTGATTAACAACAGTTATTATGTAAATCTCCTTTATTATCCCGATTTACCATATTGCCAACATAGTTATAGATACACTTGAACTTAAAAGGAAGTATGATGCTTCATACAGCTGTTTCCTCCTTCTAGGCAATTCAGTAATACCAAGGGCATACATTCTGAAGCCTAGGAAGCGACCATGAGAATTCCAAAAAGTCTGTATTTTAACAGATTTTACGGAGAGAAAATAATAAGAAACAATGACACTGATCTCGTCTCCCTTGATTCATCTTAATTTCTTTATATATTCAGTGTAAACCATATGGTAGCTGCATTACCCTGTTACGTGAGCGATTTTGATTTAGCCAATAAAAACCGAACGTGAACTGACGATAATGGCACTTCATTACTTTTATAAAGTCGCATGCAACAAGGATCATCATTTAATTCAATGCCTCTGCTAGGATTTGAACTAGATACATTTGGCTTGCTAGTCGTACGCTCAAACGATCAAGCAAAAGATGAGGGATTCACAGTCGAGCAGATTATGTTAACTCCCCTTGAAAAATGACCTCGACCTTGAGTTTCCTCTGGACCTCACTTTCGTTTTATTATTGTCCCATCTAGTTGATCAATTAAACCTTAGTAAAAGTTTTTATTTCTATTCTTAGTACCATCAAATTAGGTTGAAGTCTATTGGAGTAATGTTTACTCAAGAAGCGATATTGAGAAATTGTTATGAGCGTATATACTGCGTCGTATTTTGTGGGGGAAAACGTCAAAATCAAAGAAGTATACTGAAGACGAAATACTTAAAATGATCACATCACTAGATGGAAATATCTCAGTCGAGTGGTCATAACGACCTTGCAAAAAATCACTTCCTGATATATTGATAATGTTTTGTCTTTTAATAGTAAGAAATTGATTAATCACATATTCATCATATACATCTTACTGCATTGGAAATCAAAGACATGACAAACGATTCTATATCAGCTGCTTACCGCAATCTTTCCCTACGACGAAATCAACAGGGACAATTTTTCACCAAGCTATACGATAAGCGTGATGATTTCAGTTTTCCTATTGTAGATTTTCTATTTCTGGACAGCGATGTCCTGCATCCTCAACCTTTGGTGTTTACATGTCATAGTTGATTAGATATTGAAGGGTTTGTTCTCAGTATCACGATTTTCGTGATGTCGATAGAATGTTGATGAAGATTACTAAATTCTACAATCGTCATGAAGTAGCAGGAAACAGTTAATTTGAAATTATCGGTCATGTTTGAGATGTGCAAGTATAGCAGTTTGGTTATGAAAAATATATCCTTACACGTATATTTATTGATGAAATACATAACAATTACAGTAGAAGTAGAGAGATAAAAATTGTGTAAATAAAAAAATTCCTCTGATTTCTGACATGTGATTGCCATGGTTACCGACTCACAACATGACCACGTGTAAACACTAGGAAAATTTCACTTCCTGTAAACCTAGCTTTAGGTGTGTAGACGCAGATTCGAGATTGCCCTAGTAGTAATATCCAACACAATGAAAAATATGAATAGTATGAACCCCACATTATACAATTTGACATGACAATACAAATTTAAGCTAGGATTTTTTTTCTAATTTGAATCAAAATAATGGAGTAATCTAATGAACAAAGATGTCATCCATGGCACACCGCGAAACTGTGTGCTGCTACCTGAGAATCTCATTGGCACATCATTTATTCTAATTCGTTGATGATTGCCTTGTTCGCATTTGAGAACGTGATATTACTTACTTGGATTATCTAAGATTTATATGGCGATTGTCGTCGATGAAGCAGAAGACGCCCACTCTCCCGTAACTCCTGGTTTCAATCTCATCGTATTTTTCCATGAGTTTTCCGGTAAAACTTTCTATTATTCATATTTTGCTCCAATTTGATTGCATTTGAGTTTGGATTATGATTCTGTTGACAAGTTGTATTTTTGTCTTGTCTAACGTAAAAGAAAACAACGATCTAGTAGAGCGGCATGTTTCTGCTTATATGTACAAATGTTACATTACCAGACAAACAGAATGATTGTGTGCTATGAATGAAGACTTGGGAAAACGTTTCAAAAAATCAATAAATAAGAAGTAGGTTTGATATTAACTTAAGCAATAATCATGCAGTGTAGTCATTATCACATGCAGAGAATAAAATCAGCAATACCAACATGTTTGCCAAACAAACCGAGCCGATCGATAGATATTATATTATTCGCTAGTCCTCCTGCTGAGCCTGAGAGGTCGTTTTTCGATGCACTTTTAAAATATTAGTGAATGTAAAAAGTTCGCAATATGTTTCCTTGAACATTTCGAAAAAAATAACTGGGGATCTTGTGTAATGTTCGTCTTTATATGCCACGCAGTACATCTATTTGTGACTTCAATGATAGTAAATATCGGCTGCACAATGAGATCGTACGTAGACGGTTTAAACTACTCCTCACTTTCCAGCTTTAGCGCAGTGACAGCTTGAGAATTTTATATTATTTATATAAGTATATGTTGGAATTAGCACTGCCACCTAGTCTATTTACTTTACTATTCCATCCTTTAAAATGTTGTAAAGATAAGAATTCATTTTTGAAAATCCAGGTATTTTGGGTATCATTATTCTCTGTTTCTTGTCCTATATCATCGTATGTACATGGAACTGATGTGATTTCAACACAGCACTTTTCTCTCTAAACTTACTACAAATTATTAGCAACAAGGCCAATAGTATCAGGTGGATGATTGTGTCCATAGTTGCTGTCCGGAATATTGTTTACTGTAATCTAAGATACAGTACAGTCTCTTCTGACACATTTCCATTAAACTAGTTCTCTTTTCATTGACAGGTAATGTACCCCATCCGTCCAGGAAATCCACTTACATTTAGGTCATATTTACTAACTTTATTTCATTTTGAATTTACATGCATATAATTAATCACTTTTTGCCAAGTTATCAACTTGTGTTGTCACTCGGGTATGACCAAGACTGACCGTACCCAGTTAAGGTGTGAAAATAAAAAAAAAGTTGGCTGAAATTGACTAGTGTTCAGAGGTTAGCTACACTAGAGGACACCATTTCAACCTTATATTCTCAAAGTTGAACAAGACTACCTTTTATTATACAGGTCGTCAAAACTCTTTCACATTCTAGTTTACATCCACTCGTTCTAATAAGAAATTAAGTTTTATTTTTCTATTTTTTGTTTTGTTTTTTGTTTTTGTTTTTTTGTTTATATAGGAATACTGAATTTGTTTATGAAAATGTTTGATCGCGCAAGTCGACGAGTGTATGAACATATATGGTCTTTAACAATACATATTAGACCCGTTGTGACATGTTTATTCTGAATGTTTTGTTCAATAGCATGAATTCCTCCTCACATTAAAACACAAAAAAACATAATTTTGAAGTAATAGTAGCAGGACAGCTGGCGACGAAATAGAATGTTATATACATTTTAGTATATTTTGATATTTGATTTAAATTACCTCAGGATGACTAGGCATGTTAGTGTGCTCTAATCATAAACAAGAAAAAAGAGACCTCCCTTAATTGTCCCTTCAAATCGGGTTTGATTTTTTTTCTTCTGGCATATGTCGGTGTTTATTTATTACAGTTATGTAAAGATTTGTCACAAGAAACTATG